GCCAAGGCATACTTCAGCTCTGCCTCCACAGAGAAATCAGAGAAGACATGAATCACAAACACATAATTCAGAGATGCTCTGGTATTCCAGTCAATAGTTTGTGCCTTAACCACACAGCTGTTTCCACTATCAATCAGTCACCCTTTGAGAATGTACTGTGTACAAAGAACTGTAGAAGGTAAAACATGGTAGTACAGAGAAATTCCCCCTGAACTGTGACTTTGCATTAAATCTCTCAGTATTTTATACTCATCTCGGATAAATTATTGAGAGTTAAACCATAGCATCCCATCAATTAACTACGTTAAGCATCTCTGTTGACAAACCGCTATTTCAGCCTAAGAGTTGACCTGAATAATTCTGACTATCTGAATTTCTCCCAAATTCACTGGAATGAACCTCCCTAACTTCAAGCAGCTTGAACACTGGTTTTATAGAACCCCAGAGTGTTATTATCACCAAGTGTACCATGTTGTGGATAGTTACCACATTTTGCCTCTTTTTTTTAAAAAAAAGTATTAGGTATTATTTTAAAAGATGAAAAAAATAACTTTAGAGCAAAAATCACGGTAAAGAATCGGAACTTAAGAGAGTAATGGGAAGGGGCTGAGAGAAGCATGTGTGGAAATGAGGGAAAGAGAAGGGAAAAGGGCCCGTCACAACTCCCCAAAGTTTTGGACTCTGAGTCCAGTGTTCTCAGCCTCAGCACCACTGACATCCTGTGTTAGATAATTTCGTGTTATGGGGAATTGTCTAGGGCATTGTAGGAAGTTTAGTAGCATCCCTGGTTCTACCTACTAGAAGCAACTTCCCAGAAGTGACAATGAAAAATGTCTCCAGAGATTGCCAAATGTCTCCTAAGGAGCAAAACTGGCCCTGGTTGAGAATAACTGAGTTAGGGAAAGGCACAATTTATCAACATGAAAGGACTCCCAAATGCTACCCAGGAATCTTTGGAATTTATGTGAAATAATTATCAGTCTTCAGAGTTAAGTTCCTAATACACCTGAATAAACCAACCTGATTCTACATGTAACAGTCTTCCTTATAGCTAGTGTGATTTTTTTTTTGCATAAAAACCTCTATTATATCTATCAATTTCCACTTACTGGAAGTCTACTCAACTGAATTAATGAAAAATGTGACTTATTCTTACAAAATGCTTCTATGTTTTATTATAAACTATAATGTGATTTGTCCTATTATCTAGTAGTGGTAAAAAGAAGCTTGCAATTAGAATATATTTAGAAAGGTTCTAGTGGATACTGTATCATTCTGCACATTATCTGGGTAACAAATCCTTAAGGCTTGATTCTGTTTATGTTGCTAATGCTCAATAAAGTAAACTTGTCTCAAGTACTCCTTAACTACTATCAAGTCCTGATCTCGGCCTCATTCTGATGCAACTGACCAAGCATTTAGCTGATTTTCTTCTCATGTTCACCACTGACAAACTTCGACACACTTGAAAAACATGTTGGATAAAAAGATGTATCAATCTTATAAATTTGTAACACTATGTAGCAAGATGGAGTCTTTTGGGAGAAAACGTCTTAGTGTTTGATTAGAAAACCAAGTACAGGATGAGATCTGAATGTGAAATTCAACTGGAGAGAAGTCCATGGAGAGCTGACTTTAGAGTTTTTCAAATTTTCATCTCTGTGAAATGAGTTTCCCAAAGAAATTAATTTTATTATTTGCAATGATAAAAGTGGAAAATTTACACCAAAGGAAAAATAGTTCTGCTCAGTTTGGCTCTAGTCAAATTATGTATGGAATATTGTGTTCAGCAGAGAAAGAGGCTCATTGACAAATTGGGAAATATACACAGGAGAGTAATCAGTAATATGAAGGACCTGGAAACCATGACTGATGAGAAACTGAGGATGTTAAGCCTTAGGGAAACCATGACCATTATCTTCAAATGATTAAAAAATTAAATCATTGTGTAGTGTTATTACTACTGCAGAGACTAACATTTAAAGCTACTATGTGTCATATACGATGCTAAATACTTTTACCCATGTGATATCACTTCATTATAGCCCAAAGGACAGATATTATTACCTCCATTTACAGCCATCTGTTCAAGCTCACAAAACTAGTCATAGCAGAAGTAGACTTGGAACCTATCTTCCTGATTGCAAAGCACAAACTCAAAGTCACTACAATCTACTGCATGGGTCTAGAGAGGACAGGTGGGACAAACTGACAAACATTAAAGGACAAATATTTCAGTTTAAAATAGTTAAAGATCAGGGTAGTTTCATATTCATCTCTGTATGTTCTGGACCTATCAGAGTATCTGGAAGTTTACAGCTACCTGATAATGCATGTCCATGAGACCATAAAGAAGAATGGCTTAAAGACAAAGAAGCAACCTAAATGTCCACTGACAGATAAATAGATCAAGAAAATGTGGTGTATATATATACAATGGAATATTACTCAGCCATAAAAAGAATGAAATACCATTTTCAGCAACATGAATGGACCTAGAGATTATCATACTAAGTGAAGTCAGACAGAGAAAGACAAGTATCATATAATATCACTTACGTGGAATCTAAAAAATGATAAAAATGAACATATTTATAAAACAGAATATAGATTCACAGATACAGAAAACAAACCGATGATTACCAAAGGGGAAGGGGGGGGAGAGATAGATTAGGAGTTTGGGAATCACAAGTATAACTACTATGTATAAAGTAGATAAACAACAAGGATCTACTTTACAGCACAGGGAATCATATCCAACATCTTATAATAACCTATAGTGGAAAGGAATCTAAAAAAGAATAGATATACATGTATGCATACTGAATCACTTTGCTGTACACCTGGAACTAACACAACATTGTAAATCAACTATAGTTCAATAAAAATTAAATTAAATTAAAACTAAAAAAAAAAAAGAGAAGAATGGCTTAAAGCTTATAGAATAGGAGCCCCTTTGTGGTAGTAAACATCCTATTGTCAGAGTTGATCAAATATTTTATCAGAGACTGGATTCCCAATCATTTATTAAGCATGTCACAGATGAGATTCATATATGTTTGGAAGTTGAAATAAAGGTCCTCAAACTCTGATATTAAATTTTCTAATGTATTTTTAAGTAATATCCTTAAATCTGGAAGGATTATTCCAATACAAAACAGTGCAGAAACTGCAGTGGATAGGTTCTCATGTGGGTGTCCCATCATCCCTACCTCCTGTTGTTCATGCTTTCATATAAACCCCTTCCTCTGGGTGGGAACTATGATTTGCATCTAACCAATGGAATGAGGCAAAGGGATGGGAGTCCACCCCCATAATTACATTGCATTCTATAGACTCTGCTTGCTGGCTTGATGAAGTAAATGGCCATGGTGGGAAAGTTCCTGCGGCAAGAAACTGTGGGAGATCTCTATGAGCTAGAGCTAAGGGTAGCCTCTAGCCAAAAGGCCAGCAAGAATCTAGGGCCCTTGGTTCTACAGGCAAAAGGAAATTAAATCTGCTCAAAATCTGAGTGACCGTGGAAGTGGATTGTTCCCCAGTCAAACCTCCAGGTGAGAATACAGCATAGTAAGCCCCCTGATTGCACTGGGACTCCTGACCCACAGAAACTGAGATAGTAGATATGAGTTGTTTTAAGCTTGTGGCAAATGGTTATAGCACAATGGAAAACTGAAGTAGTAAGCTAAAGGAAATAGTCCAGGCAAGAGACTATGCAATCCTTAGGTGCAGTGAGGACACAGTAATAAAATATACAGGTATGAAGGTCACGCTCTGGAGGCAGAAGCAACTGGTGTTAACACTGATTATACTTAGCATTCAGTAGCCAGTCAAAGTCAGAGGTAACCCCAAAGTTTCAAGCCCTCATGAAGAGAGGATAATGGCTATCCAAAAAGAGAGACATCAAACACATAAAAATGCCATTGACGCCTCCCAAATGCCTAGGCAATGACCTCCAGATCAGAGCCGCGTGGTGTGCCCAGTCTAAGGGGTTAGGGAATTCTAAGACTGTTATTTGGTATCTGGGCTTTAAGTCAGCCTCTCTCCAGGTCTTGTTCTTGACCAATGAAACTATTAATTGCCTGGGCAGACTTTCTTCTTGTGTGTCCTGTGGGAGATGTTACAGGTCTCCATCACTGTCCCAGGATCTCTGCCTGTCCTTCATTCCAACTTCATCTTCTCTTTCCGATCATGAACCAAGTACTATTAACCCCCACCAAAATTCTTGTTTTGTTTGGTTTTATGGGGGAAAATGAGTTTAAATGCAATGAGCCCTGGCAGAACCTCTGCAGAAATGGTTGTTATTGAGAATGCAGAGTGTCAGAGAGAAAAATCATTATGGAAAACAGGCCAAAAGAGTCACACAAATACGATGCAGTGGTTCAAACAGTGAGGCCATCAAAAGAATGTGTAATGAGATGGCTGAAAACGTAAGTCTCTGGAATACCTTTATAAAGGAGTTAGAATATTGTATAAGAGCTGGCTTTTCACTTTCTTCATTTTTCATCACACAAGGCCAACATCTTGCAAAGTCACAGTAAATCAAAGTGGGGGAAGTATTAGGGAGAAAATCGTTGTGTCAGAAGCTGGAAGGCGGGAGTCAGAGGGATGCATTTTGGAGGAGACAGGGAAGATGAGGACAGTTAAAAATATACAACCACTTTCCTGACACGTATGAGGTCATCAGTTACTTCTAATAAGATTTCAGGAACTTAAAGAATTTTTGAGACAGGATATAGAGGCCACACTTTGAGAAGCCAAATAATGAATGGAAGAGTCCTGATCCTACTCCAAGGTCAAGAAAAAGGGTCATAAATGAACACACTAAACAGAGGCTTTACCTGTTATCTC